TGAGATTAGAAAACGAGAGACACTTCCACTGTGGGCGAGTCCAAGAACACGTGTGTGGCCACTGAGGGAGGGAAGCAGGCTGAATGTTTGTGTGTTGGGGAGGGAAGAGAAGCTTGTGACCCCTTTTTAAGTTGCTCGTGACCCCCATTTGAGAACCCCTGCTCTGCTGGTTTATATAGAATATTAGCAGTGAAAGGGACCTGTGAGTTATTTATCTGCAGATTTGAACAACACTGTATTGGCTGATATTGACAAATTGCTTTTTAAGACCACATTGGTGAGACATGTTTACACCTATTATTTTATTAAATTTAATTTTAGATCCTGCAGAAATGTATAGCTTGGTCCATTCCACTTATTAGGAAAACTTACTTTTTGGTAGGCAGTACATAAGATATAGTTTTTGTGTGGATTTTGGGAATTAACTTTTCTATTTGTTTTAATCTCTGCCTTGGCCTTCACTAAAGTATTACTTATATGCCTTTCACTTTAGGCTTTTACTGTGAACCACAGGCCCTTGCTCATCATTGCTGAATAGCAGCCAGAACCTGGTTGTTCTTTACAGAGTCCAGAGGTACATGGGTCAGAGCATGTTTAGCATTTGAGTGACTTTGCAAAGTTTTTTGTGCTACTGAATGGTTGATGATAGCCAGAGCATATATTCTCATTCTTTAGCACAGGTTGTTTGGTGATTTTAATAGCATATAGTGGTTTAAAGGAGTGTTTCATAACATTTGACTATACAAATAGCATTTTATTTGAAAGTTAGTGTGTTTTTATGAGAGACAACATATTACTACTATGAAGTGATTCTGTAGAGCAGTGGCTGTCAACCGTTTTCATTTGTGAACCCTTACATTCCTAATGGATGTGCAGGACCCCTTTGAATAATAAGTGTGGGTATTCACATACTTCTGATTTATGATGGTCGTCTTTCTCAGACCTCCTAGAATATAGTCTGCTGACCCTGTGGGGTTTGCTGACCACAGCTTGAAAACCACTGATGTAGAGCTATCTGTGAGTCTTGACAATGCAAAGTTAAACTAGTTACAGCTTAAAATGTACTGAATCAACCAAACTGCAGGTAATAATCCTATTGTAAAAGTCTTTATAACACTCTAGTTAATGGTAGTTACTGCATTCCACTTACAACTTTACTGATCTTGTATAAATATAAAATGTAACCAATATAAGTGATTTTTCTCTTGTAGTTTTAACTCAGCTTTATTTATTTATGTACACAATTAAATGGAAAAAAATGTTGATGAAATATTTATGGTTATGATTTTATATGCCTGAAAATCATGAAACTTTTTATGGTTCCCACAGCCATTGTAAGTTAGCTGATTGATCATATGCAGTGTTTGCAATTTGCTCTCTCTGCCTGTTTAGATTATTCCAGAAGAATTATTACCACTGTGGCCAAGTTATGGTTCCCATAATCACCCTAACTTAGTACTTTATGTTTTTTATGTGTTTAAAACTGTTTGCATTAGCAACCTTTTCATTTAATTTTACTTTTTCTTCTGGAAACTACAAGAAGAGAGAAGCTACCTTGGCTCTTGTTCACTTGGATAATAGGCATTTAAAGGTGTGCTCTAGAAATGCTTAAAAATATAAAAATGTATTTTCCTCAGTCTGATACCTGTACATGCAATTGTATTTGTGTGCTCATTACCTTGCCACTCCAAACATTGGTTATTCTGAAGCTTTTTATTCCATAATGAGCTCTATTTTTTTGAACATGTGAATTGTGCATTGAGGGTGTCCTAGGCCCAGGACAGCCTCTGAAAATCAACATTTAGATTAATGAACCACATTCTGTGCAGCATTGATTGATTTACTTGTCAGCCTTGGGAAGACCAAGGCAGGTGAAAGTTTTGGACTTCCTTAGTATTTCTAAGAAGTAAAACTACATAGAAGGTAGGATAGACTTGCACTTCGTAGACTAGCCAAAATGTGAATGTGTGTAATATCACAAGCTTTCATGAGTTGAGCAGATCCTGTGAAAGGACATACACAAAGGTATGTTTAAGAAGGAGAGACACATTTTGAATACGTAAGCAGAAGAAAGGGGCAGATATAGGGAAGGAGGGAGAGAATAGTGTTGAGGGAGGCAAAATATACCCATAGGAACAAAGAAATCACAAAAGCTAATCCAGGTAATGGGATAAGAATCCGTAGTCCCTGTTTAAGCTGTATTTAACGCTATCCAGTTTGCGTGATTTCTTGTTCTGCACTTCCTTTTCAGATCTCTTTTTTTTTTTTTTTCCTTCCTAAGATTTGCTGCCTGAGAGCAGCCTCCCTTGGCCAGCAAAATTGTAACCTACCCTTGTACCCTCCAGATAAGCTGTGGCTCCATCCTGTGCCCTGCCCCCTGGCTGTGCAGCCCTTGCCCCTAGCCCTAGCCCCATTTCCTTCTTCCCTCACTACAGAGGCTTCAATCTGTCCCCCCTCACATCCCTTCCCCACCCCCCTGGCCAGCAGACTTACCAGCTGGATGCTGCTGTTCTAGCTGCCGAGCTGCATATCGGCAATTGGGTTGGTATTGGCTGATATGGTTGGTTAATCATTGGCCATCGGTATCAGCCCAGAAAATCTTTATTGGTGTACCCCTAATGTTGTTAGCTGAAAGCTAGTTAATGGATCCCAGTTTCTTTAAGAAATCTGTGGTGACTGTCAAATAGCTGGCAGCTCTAGTGGTGTATGAGAATAGAATAGAGTCAGCATGACCAGAAAGTCCCTCTGATGATGCCAGTGGGGTGTCTTGGGTTATAAGTAAAAGTTGCCCAGCCTGGGCTCTTGGGAGGTGTAGAAGTAGTATCTTTTCTGATGTTTTCTGAGGTCAAGCCTGTGTGAGTTCCTCCTGATAGTGTGGTATGGGGGGTCTTTGGTCAGGAGCTTGTCAAACTAAGACACAGATGACTCTTGGAATAACAGCCTTCTAAGGCAGTTCAGAAAAATAGTTCTCAGTTATCTTAACAATAAAAGTTATTCCCTCTTTCCTGGCTGTGGAAGGCCATCTTTGAGGTAGAACCAATGAAGGTCTTGTCACACCTGCTTTTCTTCTCCTCGTGTCCCCCACCCCTTCCACCTTTCTTCTCATTGGCTGAAATAGAGATGGTAGGGGATCTACTATTACCAAAAAGCAGGAAACTTTTGGCTTTAATGGTGGAGACACAGGTGGAGAAGGGGAAAAGAAAAGAGTCAGGTCTGTGTGGCCTTTTTGAGGACCAGTATTCTAGCTTCATTTTTTCAGGGGTGGTGGTTGGGTGTCAGATACTGTAGGAGGAAGTACTTGGTGGTTAGGCACTTTCCTCAGAGTCAGCTTCTCCAGGGTTCTCAAAGAGCTGCAGTGCAGTAGACATTTAGTAGTGGGCCTAATGGATTTGCTGTTACACAGATCTTTTGGCTGCTTTCTTTTGATGTATGGGGGCCACAAGCATCATGGATGATACTTTAGCCAGGAGATTGATATAACATCTGTACAGGTGCAGAATGGCTTCAAGGGAGGGATAAGGATTCTTCTTTCCTGTCCTATACTGTCTCAGTTTCTGAGGAGCATCCTGACGCACAGTTGTTATTACATTGTAATTGATGTGAGCTCTGTTTAGACATGCACAAAAGCTATTTATTTTTATTGCAATGGTATTTTCTGAAAAGGAGCCGCAGGTTGATAGGGAACAAGAACTAAGTAAGGGTAGCTGAGCAGATTTTCATTCATGTGTTCTGGAAATCATTCTTTTCTCTGGTTTTGACTTTTATAATATCTTTTCTATTCCCCATGTGTTCCTTCTTAATTTTAAGGGGTATTAGCAACCAGTGAATATTTGGGAAGTTTTGAATATAATTTATAAAACAGTCAGTTTGAAAATATCTAAAGGATTGGCAGGCCAGTAGTAGCAGCAATCATGACTAAAGAGCAGATCATGTCAAACCAACTTTATTTCCTTTTTTGACAGGATACCCAATTTGGTAGATAAAGGGAATAAGGTAGATGCAATGTACCTAGGCTTTACTAAGGCTTTTGGGTGCCTATACATGTGCAGTGAGGCTGCTCTGACGTGCTGTAATGATTGGGCCTGAGGGTGGGGAGAAGCTGAGCTGCTGTGGCAGGTGGGGGGGGGGGCAGTGGGCCTGAGCGGAATTGGTGGCGTTGTGGGGGGGGACAGGGATGGGAGGAGTGGGCTTGGAGCCAACGGTGGGGTGGGGGGTGGGAGAGGAGTGGGACCAGGCCTGAAGGGGAAGGATTAATATCCCACTTAAATTCTAGTTCCTTTCAATGGATTCCTTTAAAGTTTTTGTGTTTAAAACTCATGTTCTGAGCTGATACAAGATATTTATTAATTCATCTGTCATTGTTTTATATTTAAAATGTTTGTTTTAGTTAATAATACCTGGTAATTCTAGTCACTTTATGTACATTGAATAGATAAACTTCATTTCCATGCTCAACCTTTCATGCTCAGCTTATTGGAATTCCAGTGTTTAGGAGCTTTTAGCAGTATGATAACTGCTTAAAGGAAGATCTGAGCAGAAGCATATACTTGTATTACATTAGACACCAAAGCACTGATGTTACTTTGCACCTAGTTTGTCATATGCAAATCATAAGACATAAGGAAATGTTGATATCTCAGCATGAGAACTGTTCAGAAATGCTTATGAATAATACTATGACTATACAAAGCAGTATTTTGTTAATCAAAGATAAATTATGGTGCCTGTATACAACCTGTTTATTTCACCTCCAATAATCAGCTTTTTGTGGGTATTCTGAAAATGAATGATCTGGTGATATATTTTAGTGTTTTCTGTTCTTGCTTTGTCTTCATCATTGTCAATGGCTACATAAACCATATTATATCTTTATAGACCTTTTTAACTGCGTACAGAAATTGAGATGCTGAGATAATGTGCAACATGCTTTAATTTCTTTCTTCCCATACCTTTATTACTTGTGTTTATTTTCACTTCCCTACTTTTTGTGTTGAATGACACAGCTGCTAGCTGGGATGATAGCAGAGCCTGCTTTTCTCTCTGAGTATACTATCTTTGCTTTGGATCCCACCAAACAACCTAAACCACAGACTGACAATGTGGTGAGTCCTCTCAGTCCATACAGTGCTGCCTTTAACAGGGGGAGGAGAATCCCGGTAATTCTAGGAAGCAAAACTAGTGCTGCTTGTGGCTTGTATTCTTATGAAGACCTCTTAACTATCCTGTTGCTAACCCTGCACTAAAATTCATGGGGGTAATACTTGGTAGCTCCTGGCTGGTGTGCTGTGTGGTGAACTTTAGTTTAACATTTTTAAAAAAAATTAACATTGTTTATGTTAATAGAAGAAGCGGCACTCTTCCACAAAAAAAGCAATTGCCACACAAGTTGATACAGATTCCTCATCTGGAATTGGTTAACATTTATCAGCTTTGGGGGGTTTTTTTGTGTTTGCCCTTGCAAGAAATGTAATAGTTTCTAACCTGATCCAAGATTTTTTTTCCTTTGAGTAAATATCACTCTTCTTCTTTTCAAGTATTTCACTTAGGTTCTATTCTTCATAGTCACAAGAATAGATGCCTCCTGTGCTCTAATAGGAGAACATTTCTGGAGGCACAGCAACTGAAAATACAAAATTAGTAAGGGTGCAGCTCATCCCATCCCATACTTACTGCCTAGCTTAGTGAGAGAAGAAGAAGAAGAAGAAAAATCACAGAAAGTGGTAGGAGATAAAAATATAGATTAAAAAGGGGGATGTGAGGCCTAGGACCCAGGGGCATAATGGGAATGTTGCTTTTTGGTTAGCTCTTAATTTTAAAAGATGCTCTCTATTCCCTGTGTTCTAGTGTAGTAGGAAGGCCTTCGAAGCTAAAATATTTTTGGGTAGAATTGTGAATCTACAAGAATTCAGGGAAGAATAGGTGCACTAATCTGTTTGTTTCCTGTTCCCTGATTTCCAAAGTTTACTCTGTCCCAGAATAGCTAGATTTTTCTGGAAGAAAAAAAGTGTTTGTTACTAAGATAGTTAACAGTTTTTAGAAATTTAAATTATCCTAGTTTTCAGGCTTTTTGTTCTTTTCTGAGATGAGTGGTTTTTGTTCACATCTCTACTCTATTTTTAGTTCATTTTCTGACTCTGGCCTCACTGCACCAGTTTGCAGTTACGTTATCTATGTAACTAAGGGTTAGAAATTTGAGAGAGGAAAATTAAGGAATTTAAACTTAAGGCTTACCTTTGGGTGGGAAGGGGGATAAAGTGTGAGATGGGGGGACTTGGGGGAGTATCTGTTTAGGGCAGGGGTTCCCAAAGTTCTTATGCGGCAGCCCAGCAGGCAGACTGTAGCCCAGTAGTTGCAGCTGACCATTGCCAGAATTTCTAGCCAGAAGTCAGGTAAGGATACCCCTACCACCTGGGCAGGGGGTTTGCAAACCCTGCGTTGCTGCAGGCCCTGTGGAATGAGCCATGGCCTCTCTGCCCGGTTCCAGGGGACTGTGGTTTGCTGTCCCACAGCCAATTGTGGTCCAGCAGCCTACCTGCTGTGGCCTGGGGCTTGAGAACCCCTGGTTTTAAGGTATAACGGCCTGTATATGGTTTAATTTTACTTTTGATCTTTATAGGGTGAGATGCCTCTAACTTTACAATAATGAAGACTACTGGTATTTTACCAGTGGTGTGGGAACCTCTCACTTATTCTTCACTTCTCGTGTCTCTTCACAGTGCCAGACTAGAGTCTAGCTCAACAGGGTTGTTTCCCCCTGCTGATTCTCACAGCCATTGTGCTGACTGCCTAGTTGTTTTAATCATTGCAAGAATGCCCAACTGTAGAGAAAAGTAGTGCCACAGGAGGGGGCAGGTTGGATGCAAAATGGCAAGATAAAGGAGAAACAGCACAGCAGGGGATAGCAGAACTTGGATGTGAAATCCTGGCACCAAGGAAATTAGGCAGGGTGCTTAACAGTTTGTGGTCCATCGTGTTAGTCAGCACCACTTCTAGCTTGGTTCCAGGTAGGTCTGCCCCACCTGTGGGGGGGGGGGGGGGGGGGGGGCCGGAGAAGAGAAACAAGCTAGCCCCCTGTGTGCAGGTCCAAACCTGGCCCCTGTGAGCCCAGAGCTAAAACCTGCAGGACCAGACTGAGAGGTGGGAAGTGTTAGCCAAGACCTGACAGTCATCACACATGCTGCAGATGTTGCTAAGGGAAGTTGCAGACAGCTTCACCAAAGAAGGCAGGGAGTTACATTTACATTATAAAGCAGAATGTGTAAAAGGTGGGAATACCTAAACAAAGCCCTTCTGAATGCCTGATGGTAAGGAGACACTCTGCCCTCAGGATTAGTAAGACCTAATTCTTGTCTTCCTAGTTTACATTTTAAGTTAGACTAACTTGTGTATGCTGTGTTTTACTGGGCTGTATCTTAGCTTAAGCGAAGATTTTTGGTAGTTTCCTGTCTTATGCTTTGCTAATTACTGTGTTAAATACATGCTTGTTTCTGAGAGAGGACTTTTTCCCTATCCCCACTCCTCAGTCTGGCAGCAACTGCTCCCTCTGCCCCCAGGCTGGTGGCTGGCATCCCGTGTGTTGTGCTAGCCCTGGCTGGTGCCTGATCATGCCCCCTCTGTTCCAGCAGGGAGGAATGAGAGCCTTGGAGGGAGTCTCTCTTCCTTCCCTTTTGGCAGTGGCTGGCAGGCATGCTCTAGCACCCCCTGGCTTCTGGCTTGAGCCACTGCAGGCATGTGGCTGCATTTCCTGGTTTAACAGAATGTCTGTCCAGTTAATCAGTTTAAGGATGCACAGCTCAGACTAACCTGCAGGGAGTGAATCAGTCCAGGCTTGGGCTTTTTGATTGTTTGTCCCTAGCCTAAGAGAGACCTGGACCCCCTCAAATGAATGTTGTTCTTGATGCCTAAAATGAGCCAGACCGTACCATCTTTGGCTTTGGCTCAGGCACCCATCAGATCTATTTCAGATTGAAGGCTTAAGGGAGAGTGGCAAAGACCTAAGGGCCTTAACTGTTACCACCCCAAATGACCATCAGTACTTAACTCCATGAAGAACTGGACAGTACCATCCTCCAGCTCGGGCTTCCCGGTGGACTTAAGCAAAGACCACAGAGGCTCAGTGGCCTCAGTGCACAGCCATCAGTGCTTGACATGCTATTGGGCCAGGCAGCACCACTTCCAACCAAGGTGGAATTTGACAGAGTTCCTGCCAGCCAGTCCCAACTCTGGCTAGGGTTTGCTGTGTGGCCAATGGTCATTATATTACTCGCCCAGGGCAGAAGAGGGTACACAGTGGCACCCTTATTCAGAACTAAAAGACCCATACCATTTGCCCCGGTCATATGCCATTTTAATATTATGTGGTGTTGCTTGTGGCTGGCAATGAAGGCTGGTCCAAAAAAAAGGGGTCTGTGTTATATTCCTAGGCGTTAGTAAAGTGTTGAGGGTCTGGGGAACCACTCCCTAGCTGGCCTTGTTGAATACCAGATTTGGAGGCCATTCCTTGTGTTGGGCTTCAGCAGGAACCACAAGAAGATACTGTGCTCAATCCTGCTGCAACCTGTAACTAGATCACCACCTCTTCAGGAGCTGCCTGTCTTGAAAGTTATAGTTACTTCTGCCATTTACCCGTGCTTCACTGAATTTCTTCACTTAGCCATTCAGAGCACTGGGCAGAAATCACATTGCATCAACATCCATTGTGGGCCTTCATGATGCTTTACTGTAATTAAACATAGGCCTGCTTACTTGTCTATGGGCTAACCGCCCACCTAGCTTGCCTTCCGCACCTTGATGTAATGATTACTAGATGCTAATCAGGCGGGAGGCTGCGCATTTATCTGCCCTAGTGACAAGGGCCCAAGTACACAATTCTGACCTTCCCTTATTGTGTTCCATGCCTCACAAATGTCCCCTGGCCTAACATCTGGCCTTATCACATTCTAATACATACTTAGGGTCCAGGCCCCCACATATTGGGCCCAGGCCTCACATGGGGCTTTACACTTCATCCTCAGGCTCTGAACCCCATACTCGGGCTCTAAGCCCTGTCCCTGGGCTCCAGGCCTCTCTCGTTGGCTCTAAGCCCCATCCCCAAGCCCCTCACATTGGGCTCCAAGCCCTGTCCCACTACACTTACCAAATTAACTGGTATCCCCTTGCCTGGGAGCTTCCCTGACTGCTCCCCAAGGCTCAGGGCCCCCATCTGACTCCCTTGTGACCTCAGGCTGCGCTGTGAGCCTGGGTGCTGCCACAGGTCCCTCTGCCTGGCCTGGGCCCTGCATCAGTGCTCGCAGTGAGCCTGGGCTCCTCCTGTCCAGATCTTACCCACCAGGGATGTGGGAGCTGGGGTTAGAAGGCACCCCATACTTGCCTTTCACTGGGGCAGTAACTGGCCTGGCACTTCTGGGGGACTGTCCTGCCTCAAACAGTCCTGCCAGGCTATTTGTCCCCAGTAGGGTGCAGCTTCCAGTCAAGCCCAGGGCCAAGGGGGGGCCTGCTCCTTCCCCATAGCCCTAGCCCTTACCTCCAAGATGTTGAGCAGCAGCTTCAGCTGGGTGGTGTTCTCTGGCTGGCTGGCAGCCGACTGATGCTCTGTTGTTCAGGGCCCAGTCTTTTTATATAACAGCTGGACCCTGTTCACCAATCAGGCAGCATTGCCTGATTGGGATAACAGCCAGCTGCAAGCTGCCTGTGTTTGCTTGGTGGGAAGGCCAGGCCTGACGAGGATAGACTAAAGGGCCTGAATTTATTTAGCCTCTACAAGAGAAGACTGAAAGGGGATCTGGTGGCCAGCTATAAACTCACCAGGGGGGGACCAGCAGAAAACAGGTGAGGCTCTGTTGCCCCGGGCACCACCTGGGATAACAATAATGGCCACAAATTGATTGAGAGCAGGTTTAGGCTAGATAGCAGGGGGCATTACCCTAGGGTTAGGGCTGCCAGGCTCTGGAATGGGTGGGCTCCCAAGGGAGGTGGTGCTTTCCCCTACCTTAGGGGTCTTCAAGAGAAGGTTGGATAAATATCTGGCTGGGGTATTATGATCCCAGCACTCGTTCCTGCCCAGGGCAGGGGGTCGGACTTGATGATATATTCAGGTCCCTTCCCAACCCTAGAAACGTGAAACTATAAAGTTGGATTGCCCAGGGTCCGCAGGAAGGGCCTGGCTTGGGTTCAGTCACTTTCATTAACCTCTTAGGGTTTTTTTAAGGGATTTTTGTGGGTTAATGAGATCTGCAGTGTGGCTGGGTTTGGCAGTGTCATGTTTGGTCTGGGTAAGAGGGTGGAGAGTCCTGCTGTTGAGCAGCAGGAAAGCCTGCCATCACCAGAATTGGGTTCAATGCTTGTGAAATGCCAGAGATCTCCCTTTTTAATTTAGTCTCAGTAAACACAAAACATTGACATTTGCCCTGGCACCCTCCATCTGTGGATCCCAAAATACTTTGCTGATAGGAATGAGCTTGACCTTGGAATATATTAAAATTGCTGTAAACTAGAACTGTGTAATGGTCCAGTTTTTAATACCCAAGTAGTATGTAAAATTAGGCGTTAATCCTTTCTGCACCTGTCACTAATGCAAAACAACACTTCAGTTCAAAACAGCATTATGGAGATGAACTTTTAGTTGATAATTGCAGTAAAGAGCTTCAAGTTGTAGTAGATATCTTGGGCTGCAAATAGACGTTGTGTTTATATATGTGCTTTTGCTGACTGCCTAGTGGCAAAGGAGCAGCAATACAGCTTGGGAGGTGTGTAAATGATTGTGCCACTTTGTTCTGATCCAGGTAAAACTCCAAGACAACCAGGGCAGCCTCAAATGACTGTCTGTTTACAGTCTTGGTTTGAACTTTGAAGCAACATTTCATAGCAATCTCTATGGAGGCTGTTCTTTTGTCAGATCTTTTTTTAATAAATATACAGATATTAATTTGAATTGACAGAATCAATTTAAGCTTCCTTGCTAAAAAAGTGTGCTTACATTTTTCTTTTTCCAGAACATATACTGAACCTGTATGGCTTCGTGTTACATCCATTGGATGGTCACTGGCATGTCTTATGTCAGATTTCTGTTGCCTTTGGGTGGTCTTCCAGTGTGGCACTGAATATAGCATTTGTGCTGTAAGAATAATATAATAGAGGGTTTATTTTATTGATCTCCGTAGCTCTACCAGCTTTATGGATAGAAAATGAAAATTAACAGCCAAGGCAGTTGTTATGGCTACCTTGTAGTTTTAAATAGGCAGAGTGAAGCATGCTGGAAATTTGAAGTTAGGTGGAGAAGTGTTGTAGGGATAGTTCAGTAATAGTTCAAGAGAATTTTTAAATGCCTATTTAAAGTACAGTCCTGTCAAAGAGAACACAATATTTTGGGATAGTTGGGATAAGCCACAGAAGGGCTGTTCAGCTGCATTTCAGGCTGTACCTTTGGGTAATGCCGCAGGGACAATGTGTGCCCCCTCCATCCCCACCAACGCCACTGCAAAGACCATACGCAGACTTTCTTCCTACCACTTACGCATATGGCTGAAGTGATAGAAGTCATGGCTGGGTGGGACCCTGGAACCAACCAATTGGACAGTCCTGACCTACAGGGGCCAAAAATAAGTGAATTGTCTATATGGCTTATGAGTGTTCTTGTTCTATTCCAGCTCAGTTTGGATGGGTAACATTCTGTCTGGGTTCTTTGAGTGTTCTGAATTCTCTCCAGGACTACCTTGTCTGAATGAAATGCAGGTTCTTTGGTTAAATATGATATCTTTCATTAGACCAGTTATATAGTTGGAAAAATTGTTCTTTGCAAGCTTTCAGGCACAAATACTTTTCTTCAGGCACAGGGAGAGTCTGGTGTTTTGTGTTCTCCTGGATGAAATAGAAGCCATGATGCAAAATATTTCATTTTTTGAAATATCCCATTCGTGCACTCCTGCAGAAGCCTCTTCTACTTGATGGATCTTTTGCTTTTCTCATGTGTTCCTTCTTTACCTGGTAGAATTAAGTTTTATGTTAAATTCATGGCCTAGTAAGGTGTTGTGATGATATCTGAATACCTTTATTTTGCATGTTGTGTCAAAGTCCACATGAAGATGTGTGGGAAGGACTTCTTACTAAGAACAAAACAAAAAAACGCGGAGTGTGGGGTGGTGGTGGGGATGGCTGTGTGCCACCTGGCCACCATCACGCTGCCGTTGCTGCCCGGCGGCCAGCCGCACAGCTTCAGGCACAGCTCCGCGGTGGCAGTGGGAGGTTTTGGAGGCAGCAGCTGTCACCACCGTCACGGCCCTCCAAGTAAGTGGCAGTGGCCGCTGTGTGGAAGCCCAAGCCCCGGTCCCACCCTATGCCTCCAACCCTCGCTGTGGCTGCAGTGTTGGCCATGGAGCTGTGCTCTGGCTGCATGCCAGCCTCTCTCTCCCCCTTCCCTGGGCAGCTGGCAGTGCAGCATGTGTGTGGCCCATACATGGTGGGCACCACCACACTGCCCCCCCCCATTGCTTTCCCACAAAGCCCACCCCCTGCAGAGGGGCACCCCTGCCCTCATCCCCTGGCCCTGCTCCCAGCTGTTTTGTGCCACCTGGGGCCAGCAGCACCCCCTGCTCCCTCAGCCCCCAACCATCTTCCCCAGCCCTGCCCCACAGCCCCACTTGCCTTCATGCTCCAGGGGCGAAGGGCGAGCCTGATCCCGGCCTTGGCTGCCTCAGAGGCTCAGGCTCTGCCCCTCCCCCTCCCTCCGCCTCCGGCCAGGGCTGAGGGTTTCCTGCCCTTTTTGCAATTGGCTCTTGCAGACTGGAGTTGTGCCAGCCTGCAAGATTTCTTTGCAAAAGTAGAGAATCCATGGATTTCTCCGCTAAAAAGAGAAATCCACGTTTTCTCCAGTTTAAAAACAGGGAACCCATGGTTTTCTCCATTTTTCCATGGGAAATGGAAAACCCACATCCCTGCTGATGAGACTTCCTACTGTCAGTTCCAGTTGTGTTTCGGTAATTTTTTTCATGAAGAGTTATGAGTATAAGTTCTGATAGGAATTTAAGAAGAGATGTCGCTGTCTCACTAATCTGTGCACACAAAGCTGCTTTGTAGTTTTGTATATTTCAGTAATCTTTTGTTTTTGAAACTTAACCTACTAGCTACAGTCTGCATGATGGCACCTTAATAAAGAATAAAAAAGAAAGTACTAATTTTGTTTACTAAAACATTTATAAGGACATAACTTGACTGCTGTCTGTAATAAATGCAGAAGGCATTGTTCCTTTCCTTGATATATATTTTTTTCACCATAGAATGTATCTAAGCAAACAGCCCCCAGATCGGCAGACAACAATGACAGTGAACCATCTTCCCCCCAGGTATGTTTTTCTGTACCAATTCCATTGTGTTAAAGTTACAGACTGACATGACTTATGTTTGCATGTTACATCTTCATACCAAATGTAAACATTTTAAGCTGCACAGCTCAGTGATGGGTGGCAAGATTTTTTTAAGGCACTTGTGGAAGGGCTATGAAATATATTTTGGAAAAAGGAGATACGTTGACCTACTTAAGTTTGCTTTTCTTCCAATAACACATTTTAATAAAACTGGAGACAGGCCAGTGACCTTACCCTAGATAACTAGGCTATTATTTGTGGATTTGACTAGCATGAGAATTCAGTTGTGCTGTCTTCCATCTTTTTTTCAAAAGCCTGAAAGCACATTGAATGGATTCAGAGGGGTTTTTGTATCAGAAGAAAGTTTTGATTATGTAAAGAAGAAAATGGGTGCTGAATGAAAGTGCAAGACTGATTTGTTTTATATAAGTTTAGAAGATATTGAACACTGCTAAATAACTCCACTCAGGTGATGAATAATCCTGTATTAAAAGTATTTGAAATGATTGTATAGAAGTCAGTTTCACAAAGACTGAACCAGCAATTTGCAGCTGGTGTGCCATGGTACCCTGGGGTGCCTTGCGATCCTTTTAAGCATACTGCAAGATGCAAGGAGATAAGCATTCACTGGTCTCTGCCCCTGTGCAAGGGGATAAGCACGTGCTCCTCCTCACACCGGTTCCTGACCCTTCTCTGAGGAAATAGTCACTGTAATAAAATGAATTTAGTTTTTGAAGTGGGGTGCCACTAAATTCAGATAAGTTTGAGGGGTGCCTTGCATCCCAAAAGATTGAAAACCACTGTATTGAACATTAGTTTACAAATACTTTTAAAAATAAACTTGCTGTCTGTGTCGCTTGAAACATAAATGTGTAATGCATTGTAACGCTGGTATAAAGTATTGTTGTTTTAATACTTCCTCTTTTTGGCCTTATTTTATTCTACTTTTTACATCAAATATTACGTGCAAATATTAGAGGCTTTTGTTTATAAACAAAGTAGTTGGCTTCCTTGTAATGAGGAATTAAGTATTATAAATTATTGCATAATCATAGTTTTTTTTTATAAACATTTAAGTGTTTGGTTTGGAAGTTTAATTCAGAGTAATAGGGCAGTGCTCAGTTTAGATTCTTTCTGTGAAATCATTCGTGAAGATGTTATGTTTTCAGTGTTTTTATACTTTACGTCTTTATTACATCCAATTTCTTGAAAAGTAGTGCCAAAGTAATCCATTTCTTTATTTTTGCAGTTGAGTGATACTCAGTCTTTTGCACAGAAGCTTCAACTCCAGGTTCCTTCAATGGAATCTTTGTTTCGAAGTCCAGTAAAAGAGTCTATATTTCGCTCTTCTTCTAAAGAGTCCCTGGTACGAACTTCTTCGAGAGATTCTCTGAATCGACTTGACATTGACACCGCTAGTCCCACATTTGATCCACCCTCTGATGTTGAAAGTGAGGCAGAAGAGTTGCTGGGAAACATGGACAGCCTCAGCAAGGAACAGTTATTACAACGGTTGCGAAGGATGGAACGTAGCTTAGGCAACTACAGAGGAAAATACACAGAGGTCAGAAAATGTTTCTTGACTTTCCTGAAGAGGGGAATGAAGAGGGTGATGGCAATGAAGGCTGAAAGGGTGGAAGAAATCTTATCAGTTTAGTTGCAGTAATTGAGTTTTAGGAAGAAGTGTACTGAATATTGATTGGTTACTACTGAAAGGAGCAAGATGCATGTATATACAATTTATTAAAAAACAATAGGCATCAGTAACAATGATGATTTTCAGTTCAGGAATATGATGATGCAATTGAAAATGTTTTCACCGGTTTCCTAGCAAGTAGCTATAATCCAATAAGCTAAGACTTTACCCAGGTACACATAATGAGCTTTTAACTCTAGCAACAATTTTTGTTAAAGTTAGGGTTTCTTTGATCCATGCAACTTTGAATATGGTCTGTTCATTAGCACCTAAATTCTCTCTGTAAAAAAAAATAAAAATAAAAATAAAAAATAAATCTTAGTTTTCTTTTGAACTGGTTTAATTATTTATTTATTTAAGCTGGTCTGTTTTATGGCACAGAACAGCATGGGATGTATGTTGGTGTTTCCAGACAGTCTCCATTTTGTGCTTCTATTAAGATATAATTTCAAAGGACAGGAAAGCCTTAAAGGGAATGATGGTAGTATTAAAATTTCTGAACCAGTGGGAAGCTTGCAAGGCCAGATGACACAGCTCTTTCAGCTGGATCTGGCCTGTGGCCCAGAGGTCGAGTACCACTGTTTTAGAACCGTGCATATAATGTTTTTCCCCCTGTTCCCAGGGTCATGGGGATGCTTAAATTTTGTCTCAGTGTTTCTCTGATATGGTGTATATGGATTAAATAGAATACCTGCTTAGGAGACCATTCTCAGGCAGGTTGAAAAGTCTATCTCAGACTTTTTATTTTGAGCTGACAGTCAAGGAAGAGATTTGATCTTTTAATGTTATCTAACGTGATCCAAAAAGATTAAAATTTTGAAATGGGAAGGTAGTTCTGAAACAAAAGCTACTTCAAGAGATTCATTGAATCAACTTGACATTGTAGTTATCTTGAATTTTTTTTTTTTTTTGATCAAACCTCTTGAATTTGTTGAAATGGAACCAAATTACCCCCACCCCTCCTTGGGAAAATTCTCAGCCAGTCAGTTTGAAAAGTTCACATTCTATTACTGAGTCCCATTACTACATTGTTGGCCAGCTAACTTTGAAATCCTTGGGTGAACATCACCAAATTTTAATTAAACTGAATCATGCAATTATTCATGAAGTCTTTGTGGACTTACAATGGGAAACTTGATCCGTTTACAGTCTCTCTTTGTCTAGCACTTTTGCTGGGTATATGTGAGGTGGATGGTAAGTTATTCAGTGCTGTAGGAGCTCCTCTTTGCAAAGTGTATACATTTGTGTGCACATGTATAGTTTTGTACAGTAAAACATTTATTGTATTGTAAAATTTTAATTAATCTGTTAGGGATTTATCCAGATACTTTTCCTGATACGTAACTTTCCAGGCATACATTTTTTTTTTTTTTTTTTTGACTAAAGAATTTTAAAGTTTAGTCAAAATTCTATGAACAAGTTCACTTGAAGGTGATATAGGTTCATAAAGTGATTTAAATTTACTTTAAGTTGATAAGAGGAGCTGTTTTCCGTTATCACTATGCTTGCTTTCTGTATTTTCAGCTAGTAACTGCCTATCAAGCTATCCAGAGAGAAAGGAAGAAGCTTCAGGTAAGAGTTATTGTTCATCCCCTATTGCCTGAATATTGTTCTGAATTTTTTTAATGTTCTTTGTGTAGGAAAATATACATGTGTTATACTGGCAATATTAAAAATGTGAGGTAGAATAATCTAGTTTTAAAAGCAATATTTAATTTATTTGTGGGCTACATCATGAAGAAAAAAAAGACGTGTATTAAATAAACTGAATTGCCTTTAATAAATGCCTTCCTCAGAGGTGGTAAGTAAAGTGAGTGTATTATGTTCAGTATGGATTACAAGACTACCTAGTCTTCTGACTTTTTTTCCATACTACTTATACTTTGGGGGGGGGGGGAAGAATCAGGATATTCTTGTACTGTGTGTAATAGTGTGTCTGGTCTCCTGTGTTGTGCTCTCCTTGCCATTTTTTTAATAATAGAATTCTTTCCTAGTGTTTATACATCACAAAATGTAGAAGGATTTTAATTATATTTATCTGAATCCAAGATGACTTCAAATTTAAGATTCCCCCCCCATTAGATCTATACATGCAAAAGGGTATAAATGTGTTTGTGTGTCCCTGTATAGAGTCTAATTATTGTCTTAAATCTGTGCCGCCACCCCCCCCATACTGCTACTGCAGGAAAAGCTGCTGGAGGAGGTGCAGACAGCCTGATCCTTGCCTGTTGCTCCCCTAGCCTCTGCCTCCCCTTTCCTTGTATTTGTATTCAAGACAGGGGGCTTCTTTCCACATGTTGAATGTGGGGAGGGAACCCATTGTGAATTCAAGCAAATATGGTAAATAAATCTAAAACATGTACCTACCAGTCTAGTAGGCAAACTTTGCACTCTTGCAAATTTGCCGTGGGAAGGGACATCACAGTTATTTCATATACTGTGCCAGTAAGGGCCAACCTTTTTGGTAAGCATACCACAAATTAGCTCTGTGCACTCCAAGTGCCGCTCCAGTTCCTTTCTTCTGCCTCATCTGCTGCTCTGTTTTTTGCTCCCTGTCTGCTGCCTATGCCCTCTCTGATCTACTGTGTGCCCCACACAGAGGTAGCCTGTGCCACTTGTGGGATTCATGCTGCACTTGTCCACCTCTGCACTGCACTACTTGTACTTAATGCTTCAGAGGAGTCTTAGGGGGTTGGTTTGGGTTCCAGAGGGTGCTTTTGTTTCTGGAATTGAACAGCAATAACTGCTTTTTGAAGCCTGCCTAGCAGACGCATAGCAAAAGTAGGAAGAAAAATAGAAAACCATTGCATATCCCAGAGGTGGCTAACCTGCAGGAAGCATGTCACAAGTATCATAGGCAGCCTTTGTGTGGCACATAACAGACTGGGGAGGGGAAAGGTAGCACAGCAGAGGTAGTATAAGAAGCAGAACAGCAGACTGGGCAAAGGAAAGGGATCAGAGTGACACTGAGGGAGGAAACGGGGAAAAATTGGCACACCTGCCAAAAATGGTTGGCCACCACTGACTTATCCTATGGAGGAAAAAATATTAGTAGTTGTGGGGGGCAGTGGTGCTAAGCATATAGAACTGTAATTAAAAATAAAATAAAAACATCCTCCTTATGAAATTGAAATAAACTTAGAGAAACCCTTAGGTTGAAAGGGAAAATGAAACATACATTAAAAAAAATCTCCAGTGCCTCAAGGAGAAAAAGAAATCGTAAGAGAGCATCTAGAAAAGCCAGGCAATCTAATGGAAAAGAATACATGGTATAAAATCAAAAGTTCAAGTAAAAAAAAAAAAAACAGAAACCCATTTTGTACAATGAATCTAAATAATGAAGCACAAAAGAGACAACTGTTTATTTTTAGGATGGTGGCTCCTTGGCATGCTGGCTGCTTTCCTGCTTTCTTTTGTTGTGGGGCCTGATGCAGGAATTAGTGACTTTATAACACTGCTTAGAGTTTCAAAGTAAGCACTTCTGTACTAATACTTGGGCAAACTAAAGTAGGCAGGTGACTTAGTTTGCAAGATAGAGAGAGAATATAAATCCTTAGGCTATGCATAAATGTTTTCAAAATTACTTAAAAAAAACTCTGCTTTTACTTTTTAAGGGTATACTGAGCCAGAGTCAGGATAAAGCACTTCGACGAATTGGAGAACTACGAGAGGTAACTTCTGTCATTGGCTGAATATTTTATTTGTACAATATGCACAGAGGAGTTTTCTTTAAATATGCATCTTGCTTTTCCATTTGCGGTATTTAATTATTAAAATATCACTGACGTAAGTTTTTCTTTACTACACTGGATTTTTCTTTACTATTTCTGTCCACTTTGCCCTTACCTTTCTTTTTTCAGCGCAACCATCTCTGTATTGCGCTAAAACAAAATACTGTTCAGCGCTGATTAACTGTGTTTTCCTGTTAAGTGTCAAAGGAAAAAAGGGCATAGATAAACCTCAATTTAGAAAAGACCTGTTTCTAGGATGTAGTAGGTTTTTGTTTTTGTTTTTTTTGTGGTTTTTTTGCAGTACTGATGTGGTGTAACAGCAGCTGAAAAATAAAAAAACCCCTTTCATCTTACGCCTAGAAAATGGGATTGAGTATTGTTTTAGTAGGCATTTTCCAAAGGTGACTTGAAAATCCATTTCGAATAGCTGAGGCATAGTGAGCTCATTGAGCACCTGGGATGGGGTGGTGGCACAGGGGTGTGCCTCTGACCATTATAGCATATGGATGGATGTGGCTGACAGGAAGGGAAGACTTAACTTTCGTAGAACCCCTGAATTAGAACAACTCTTGGAGCCACTCTAATTCATGCCTCCCCTCCCCCACTCCCAGAGCATGTGTATAAAGGCCCCAAGACTACAGATTCTTGTCCCGTTAGCTTTTAAAACCCCTGTATCCCTCTGAGTTAACAGCTTTGTTTTCTCTCTCCTACCCACCCTTCCCAGTACTTCCCCCTCTTTTTTTTTTTCCACTTCCTTCCCTATCCTTTATATTCTGCTCAGTGCTTTTTGTTTAAAAGCTCTGCTTCCTGTGGTCCCTTCACAGTATCTGAAGAAGTAAGATGCTGGTTATGAAAGCTTAAGCTATGTTTCTCTTGATTTAGTTAGGGTATAGAGTGGAAATCCACTCTGTCTTCTGGTTGACCTCAGTAACTGTTTTACATAAAATTATGAGTGCTCTGTTAACCTTTTCATTTGAGAGACCTGGGAATGAATGGAAGTTGAGACTGGCCACTATTGTTGTTAAAGGGATATCAGGTTAGAATATAAGTATTTTGGCTGTGCTAAGGCAGTACTTGCAGCCTGCTGCAGCTGCTTGTGTTCACCTAATCTGTTAATAACTTTGATGTTGGTCTCTTGTCCAGTCCTCAGTTCCCAAGGATGGCTGAATGTGGAGGAACAGTTTTCAGGAGTAGGCCTGAAAGAATCCCATTGCAAGTGTGAATTTGATCAATTGACAAAGGAAGGAAAAGGCCTGGTTTTTGTTTTGTTTTGTTTTTTTGTCATAAAAAAAAATTAATTACTATTTTTGACTGGAGATATAATTGTAAAAAATGGCACATTTTATGTGTATGGTTTGTTACAAAATCAGCATTCACTTTTAAATAATATTCTAGACGCAATGAAATTGCAACCACATTTAAATAATATTTCAGTCAACCTTTTAAATACTTGCTTTAAGATTTTCATATTTTTACTTTATGATATTGTTGTTCTATTTCTAACCAACCTTTTCATTTTATATTTGAAATGCATCTTTGTCCCTAGGAACTCCAAATGGATCAGCAAGCCAAAAAACATCTCCAGGAGGAATTTGATGCTTCATTAGAAGAAAAGGATCAGGTTATTAGTGTCCTGCAGACTCAGGTAACATCCAAGAAATGCTCTTGAATTATTTGCTGTGATTATTACGAGAAATTTTTGCTGCTTTACTTGTAAGACAGACATTTTCAGCTAGGTATTATAACTCATTGGTGTTCTATAAAGCTGCGTGAACTTTGTGTAGTGATCCAGAAGTAGTAAAAAGGTATAGTACTAGCAATTGTAGTTTTATGAAGTCATATTCATTCAAGAAATACACTTGCCTTGTGATGAGCAAATCAGATACCCCTTTTCATTATGGTGATGAGGTGAGCAGATGTTCAGTTATGTAAGCTTTCATGAGGCTTCTGCAAAACTGATATAGTGGAAGTGTCCCATTTCTTTCCACATACAAAAGTGATAGTGTTTTTAGGATAATTGGAACAGTAACAATGTTTAAAAATGTGTTGTGAACGTTGTATCAAAAAGAATTTGCCTTTGTTTTTGATGAGCTACCAGTTTTACTAAAACATCTTGCTATTTTGAAAGGAAAACAATAAAGAAGTATTTGTATCTAGTATTGCTTCATTTTTCACCAAAAGGATATTTTGTTTAGGTATCCTTGCTGAAACAGCGGTTACAAAATGGCCAAATAAACACGGAGCTACCTGAGCCAACTGTTCAGTCAGAACCAAATGCTCAAAGTCCAACAACAGAAATCAATACACAAAATGTTTGGGAATCGGGAGGTACTGGTAGGCATTTTATTTTTTATTTTTTTTAAAGAGGCTTTGGAGTTGATGTGGGTAGAAAAGATCCTGGCAGCTTGGAACCCAGGCTTCTGCATTAAAGAGTTTCTCCAGAAGGAGATGGTCTGTTCCAAGGTAATATAGCATCTCTGAAGTTACATGGGAGTATGGGGGAGAGGTTCAGAGATGTTCTTTGACTTGATTACGTGATTATTTCTTGATTTCTAGAGAGGTTGTCAGTTACCATCTCATTTTAATCCTTGCCTTGTGAAAGATGAAAAAGCAGTGCTCATTTATCATGGTGTCTGGACTATTAAATAGTCTGATTTGCAGGGCTTATAGAATCACAGAAGATTAGGGTTGCAAGAGACTTCGTTAGGTCAGCTAGTCCAACATTCTGCTCAAAGCAGGACCTTCCTCAACTAGATCATCCCAGCCAAGGCTTTGTCTAGCCAGGTCTTAAAAACCTGCAAGGATGGAAATTCCACCACCTCTCTTGGTAACTTTCTGCCCTGCTTTACTACTCTCCTGGTTAAAAAGTTTTCCTTGCTGCAACTTGAGACTGTTGCTCCTTGTTCTGTCATCTGCCACCACTGAGAACAGTCTAGCTTCATCATTTTTGGAACCACCCTTCAGATGTAGTTGAAGGCTACTGTTAAATGCCCCCTCAGTCTTTTCTTCTCTAGACTAAATAAACCCTCAGTTCCCTTAGCCTCTCTTCAGAAGTCATATGCCTCAGCCCACCAACCGTTTTTGTTGCCTCTGCTCTCTCCACATCCTTTCTGTAGTGGGGGTCCTAAAACTGGACACAGGATTCCAGATGTGGCCTCACCCATGCTGAAAACAGGTGAATAATCACTTCCCTTGAATGCTGGTAATGTTCCCACTAATTCAGCCCAGTATGTTGTTAGCCTTCTTGGCAACAAGGGCACACTGTTGACTTATATTCATCTTATTGTTCCCTGTAATCCCCAGATCCTTTTCTACAGAGCTGCTAGTTAGGTACTGTGTTCCCAGCTTGTACTGGTGCATGGGATTGTTCTATTCTATAAACCTCATGAGGCTTCTTTTGATCCGATCTTCCAAGTTGTATAGGTCTCTCTGAATCCTAGCCCTACCCTCTAGTGTATCTATTGCTCCCCTCAACTTGATGTCATTTGTAAACTTGGTGAGGGTGCACCCCATCCCATCTTCCAGATCATTGATGAAGGTATTGGACAAAACCTGTCCCAGAACTGACCCCTGGGGCACTCCACTTGATACCAGCTGTCAACTAGACATTGAGCCATTGATTCCCTTTGATCCCGATGATCTAGCTAGTTTTCTATACACCTTATTGTCCTTTCATTCAACCTGTACTTCCTTAGCTTTCTTGCAAGAATGTTGTGGGAGACCGTATCAAAAGCTTTGCTATACAAAGGTATATTACATCCACTTCTCTCCCCACATCCACAGAGCCAGTTATCTCATCATCATAGAAAGCAAATGGGTTGGTCATACCTTGCCCTTAGTGAATCCATGCCAACTGTTCCTAATCACCAGGTGCTTACCTTGAGGACTTGCTCCATGATTTTTCTAGGGACTGAGGTGAGCCTTATCGATCTGTAGGTCTACAGATCCTCCTTCTTCCCTTTCTGTAAGATAAGCTCTATATTTGCCCTTTTCCAGTTGTCTGGGACCTTTTCTGACCACCACAATTTTTCAAAAATAATGGCCAGTGGCTCTGGAATCACATTGCCAACTACCTCAGCACGCCATGTTGTTTAGCTTTTCTGAATAGTCTTAAACCTGTTCTTTTGCCACTGTCGGCTGCTCACCTTTTACCCAAATTGTGCTGTCAGGTACAGTAGTCTGGGAGTTGACCTTGCCTGTGAAGACTGAAAAACATTCTCTAGCCCACCAGGGCTGTGCTTTCAGGTTGAAACTCAAAGGCCTACAGCCAGCATTGAACTTGCAATCTACCCATTACTAACTTAGCAAGCAAGCTGCTGAGCAACAGAAGACCTACAAATGCTTTTAATAGGATTTTGCCTGGGCTCTAACTTTTGTAACCAAGAGACGTTATTGATATAGTAGTGAATTGCCCGTAAAGAATGACTAAGGGTGGGTGGGTG